TCCACAGACCCAAAAAATATATATCCTCCACTCGACACCGACACCGACCTGACCCAAATTTTTAGAGTATAAATCCGACCTTATCATACCCGAACCGATAAAAAAACAAGGATTTAATTAAAAATTAATATTTTTAAAGAAAATTACATTATTATCTTCGGGTCTGATCGTGACGGAGTTTTTTCTCCCTCCATCTGAACTTGAAAATTTTCTGAAAAAATTCAACCATATCAGATCAAGTTGAAACATGTCAGATTCTAGTTAAATTACCATCCCTACATACAATCTAAGTTATTCATGATATGGAAAGATTGCTAGTATTCGTCAATAGAAACAACTTAGATATTTATTTGTCAAATTAAGAAGTTTTACATATGAAAACAACTTAGATATTTATTTGTCAAATCGTGATTGGTTTTTAAAATGTTCTATACTTAAATTCAAGGACAAATTATGCATTGAGTACATAAACTATTAGTTTTGGTCCGTTTCAGTACCTAAACTTTCAATTTTTCAAAATCATATCTAACGTTTAGTTTTTGTTTCATTTTAGTATGCTGCCATTAAAAACTTAACGCATTTAGTATCTAAACTATCAATTTTTGGTCATTTTAGTACCTAAACTTTCAATTTATTTTTCAAAACTTAACGTTAAATTTTGAACAGTGTACTAAAATAAAGCAAAAACTAAACTTTTGGTATTGTTTTTAAAAAAATGAAAATTTAGGAACTGGAATGGATCAAAATTGATAGTTTAGGTACTAAACATGTAATTCACCCTAAATTTAAAGAAGAATATTCTTAGCGCAAACTATGTATTTAGTACTTAAATTATCAGTTTTGATATGTTTTAGTACTCAAACTTTCAATTTTTTCAAAAGCATACCCAAACTATGTATTTGTGGCACGTTTTTCTCTACTTTTGGCACATTTTTGTTCTTCTTTCTCGGTTGTTATTTTTATTTATATTATCTCAAGGTTGAATTTAACGACGTTATGACTAATTAAGATGCCTCTTATTTGTTATCGTGTTGAACTTCTATATTTAATTGTTTAAAGTGATATCTCTAATCCGATTTTCGAGAAAGATAATGTTACAATTAATTTTTGTGTCCAATATCAAATATGAATGAATTCACATGTTCAAATATCACCTATTGACTCATAATTTGAGTGAAAAACATGTTGAATTACTGGGAATAGAAGGCGCAAAAGGAGGCCAAAATTGAAAGACATTGGCTTGAAACTTAATTTTGTCCATGACATACTCCAAATTTTATGTTAGGAGACGAATTTATAAAATTTTAAATATTATCAATAAAAAATATAAAAAAATATATCTAAAATATATAATAATTTGAAAATTTCAAAAATAAATACGGTAGTATCATTTGTGACTTATTCTAACTCTCTTGATTTGTTGTGTCTTCTGGTTTGCCTAATTGTTATGTATTTTCCCCCTTCACTTACAGTTAGTGTTGGCAGCGGGTCGGGTTAGGGTTGGTTTTTGGTTAACTCAACCCGACCCGATCCGAAAAATATGTACTTTCCTCCCGAAATCGACCTGACTCGAAATTTTATAACCTCCACAGACCCAAAAATATATATCCTCCAGCCGACTCTGATCCGACCCAAAATTTTAGAGTATAAATCCGACCTGATCATACCCAACCCTATTAAAAAAATAAAGATTTAATTAAAAAATAATTTTTTAAAAAGAAAATTACATTATTATCTTCGGGTTTGACCGTGACAGAGTTTTTTCACCCTCCACCCGAACCCGAGCTTGCCCATTAAAAAATCCGACCTTACCTGAACTTGAAATTTTTATGAAAAAATTCGACCCTATTAGATCGAGTCGAAACATATAGGATTCTAGTTAAATTACCATCCCTACGTACAATCTATGTTAATCTATTTTAATAAAATTTTATTATCGAGAAAAAAAAGATCCCTTCTATTAGCCCACCGTGGAAATCATCAATCGGACAGAAAGGGCCACCCCTTTCCACAAGGTAATTTGGAACCCTCACATTCAATTATGCCTCAAATTAATCAAACCATAGACTATAAAATTAAGAGATTTTTCGACAGATTATATACAAATAGAAATCAAATTATTCGAACTTAATTTCCAATTTAAAATATGACGTCTTGAAACTATGCATATGAAAAGTGAAAATTTTGTTGCGTAAAAATTTAATTTTTTAAGGTATAAATTATGTTATCTAAATTAATTATAATCATAGACCCTAATTTTTTTTAAAAAATGTAAAACAAACCCTTCAAAATTTTTAAAAATTTCAATTTAAATCTCCGATTTTTTTGAAGTTTTAAATTGCCCATAAACTCTATCATCAAGTTTCGTCACAGGCAACCACCCTTGAAATTTTAAAATTACCTTATATTTTAGATTTTTTTAATGATTTTCTATCAAATATTTGTTTTGACCCCTGAAATTTTATAAGTTTAAATTCTCCCCCTAAAATTTTATAAGTTCAAGTTTACCTCCCTTAACATAAATCCTACGTCTGTACCTACTTATAATATCTTTCATCAACCCGTATTATAATCTTAGATTTCAATTGAAATTAATTTAAATTTTTTAAATTTCATCTCTTACAAGTGATTAAATAAATTAATAGACTAATCTCAGATTTCAATTCAATAAAAAAATATTATTTATTCATTGAAAGAGCAAGTTATTCATGATATAGAAAGATTGTTAGTATTCGTCAATGAAAACAATATAGATTTTTTAATCATTTTCTATCAAATATCTGTTTTGACCCCTTGAATTTTATAAGTTTAAATTCTCCCCCTAAAATTTTATAAGTTCAAGTTTACCTCCCTTAACATAAATCCTACGTCTGTACCTGCTTATAATATCTTTCATCAACCCGTATTATAATCTCATATTTCAATTGAAATTAATTTAAATTTTTTAAATTTCATATTTTACAAGTGATTAAATAAATTAATAGACTAATCTCAGATTTCAATTCTATAAAAATATTATTTTTTCATTGAAAGCGCAAGTTATTCATGATATAGAAAGATTGTTAGTATTCGTTAATGAAAACAATTTAGATTTTTAATGATTTTCTATCAAATATCTGTTTTGACCCCTGGAATTTTATAAGTTTAAATTCTCTCCCCAAAATTTTATAAGTTCAAGTTTACCTCCCTTAACATAAATCCTACGTCTGTACCTACTTATAATATCTTTCATCAACCCATATTATAATCTCAGATTTCAATTGAAATTAATTTAAATTTTTTAAATTTCATCTCTTACAAGTGATTAAATAAATTAATAGACTAATCTCAGATTTCAATTCTATAAAAAATATTATTTTTTCATTGAAAGCGCAAGTTATTCATGATATAGAAAGATTGTTAGTATTCGTCAATGAAAACAATTTAGATTTTTTAATGATTTTCTATCAAATATCTGTTTTGACCCATGGAATTTTATAAGTTTAAATTCTCCCCCTAAAATTTTATAAGTTCAAGTTTACCTCCCTTAACATAAATCCTACGTTTTTACCTGCTTATAATATCTTTCATCAACCCGTATTATAATCTCAGATTTCAATTGAAATTAATTTAAGTTTTTTAAATTTCATCTCTTACAAGTGGTTAAATAAATTAATAGACTAATCTCAGATTTCAATTCTATAAAAAATATTATTTTTTCATTGAAAGCACAAGTTATTCATGATATAGAAAGATTGTTAGTATTCGTCAATGAAAACAATTTAGATTTTTTTAATGATTTTCTATCAAATATCTGTTTTGACCTCTGGAATTTTATAAGTTTAAATTCTCCCCCTAAAATTTTATAAGTTCAGGTTTACCTCCCTTAACATAAATCCTACGTCTATACCTGCTTATAATATCTTTCATCAACCCATATTATAATCTCAGATTTAATTTTTTTAATTTTCATCTCTTACAAGTGATTAAATAATTTAATATACTAATCTCAGATTTCAATTCTATAAAAAAATATTATTTTTTCATTGAAAGCGCAAGTTATTCATGATATAGAAAGATTGTTAGTATTCGTCAATGAAAACAATTTAGATATTTATTTGTCAATTTAGGAAGTTTTACATATGAAAACAACTTAGATATTTATTTTCATAAAACTTATCTTTTGTGTTCATTAATTAAACCGTGATTGGTTTTTAAAATGTTCTATACTTAAATTCAAGGACAAATTGCATATTTCGTACATAAACTATCAGTTTTGGCCCGTTTCAGTACTTAAATTTTTAATTTTTTAAAATCATATCTAATATTTAGTTTTTGTTTCATTTCAGTACTCTACCATTAAAAACTTAACGCATTTATTATCTAAACTATCAGTTTTGGTCCATTTTAGTACCTAAACTTTCAAATTCCTTTTCAAAACTTAACGTTATATTTTGAATATGATACTAAAATAAAGCAAAAACTAAACTTTAGGTATTTTTAAAAAAAATGAAAGTTTAGGTACTAAAATGGGTCAAAATTGATACTCTAGGTATTAAACATGTAATTCACCCTAAATTTAAATAAGAATATTTTTAGGGTAAACTATGTATTTAGTACTTCAATTATCAGTTTTAGTACCTAAACTTTCAATTTTTTCAAAATCATACATAACGTTTAGTTTTAATTTCATTTTAGTACCCTACAGTTTAAATTTTAACACGTTTAATACCTAAAAAATAAGTTTTGGTCCATTTTAGTATCTAAACTTTCTATTTTTTTTTCAAAACTTAACGTTAAATTTTGAACGGGGTATTAAAATGAAAAAAAAAATATTTTTTTCAAAGGCGGGTTCTAAAATGAAACAAAAACCAAACTTTAAGTATGCTTTTGAAAAAATGGAAGTTTAGGTACTAAAACGGGACAAAATTGATAGTTTAGGTACAAAATGTATCAAAACTGATAGTTTAGGTACTAAATGTGTAATTTACCTAAATATATTTTTATTATAAATACCCAACGTTGGGTGCTGAGTTCTTCACAACTTCGCAATTTCTTACCAAAAGTTCCGGTCGTAAAAACAATGTCTGATTCAAACATCGTCTTGTTTCTGATTGCTGGGATTTTGGTATCTCAGGCGATGTCTCGGACAGTTCATGAATCCGCCATCGATGAACACGAGAAATGGATGGTTAAGCATGGCCGAACTTATAAGGACAGAGCTGAGAAAGATAAACGTTTCAAGATATTCAAAGAGAACTTTGAATATGTCCACAACTTTAATAATGAAGGTAATACGAGTTACAAGCTGAGTATCAACAAGTACTCCGACTTGACGCACGACGAATTCGTCGCGGCTCGTACCGGAGACGTCAATCCTAGCGACACGGTGGCTTCAACGGAAACGGTGTTTCAATATGCCGAGTTTACGGATATTCCGTCGAGCTTGGATTGGAGAACCGAAGGCGCTGTCACCGCTGTTAAGAACCAGCACAGATGCGGTAAGAGTTGGTGACTCCTTTGAATTCTTATTAGTTGATAATTTTATAGGTAAAGTACAAATTTCATACTCAACTTTCGTTTTGCTACTATTTTAATCACTTCATCGTTAAACACTTTACAATGTCATGGATAAATATTTTATTTTAAAAAATATGAAATGACCCAAAAATTTTCTTCATTGTTACGTTCGAGTGACCGGAATAGGAGTAAGATAGTTTTGTGAGAGTGAAACGAAAGTTGAGTGATGTAATTTGTAATCGACATTAATTTTATTTACTTTATTTTTGTGTCTTTAAAGTTACTTTTGCTCATGAATTAAACCCTTAAACCTACTAAACGTCATCATTTTGGTTAGGGTGTTGTTGGGCATTTGCAGCCGTAGCGGCGACGGAGGGTGCAACCCAGATCAAAACGCGAAATTTGATCTCACTGTCCGAGCAACAACTACTTGACTGCAGCGGCAACAACGATGGGTGCAACGGTGGTAGCAAGATATCAGCCTTCCAATACATCATGCAAAACAATGGATTAACCAGCGAAGACAATTATCCCTATCATCAAACGCAAGGAGCTTGTGACATGCAAAAGCAGGCATCCCAAGTCGCCGGTATCAGCAACTACGGAACGGTACCCCCCAACAGCGAACAATATTTACTCAAGGCAGTCTCGAACCAACCGGTTGTGGTCAGCATCGAAGGCAGTGGGATCGATTTTAGGCACTACAAAAGTGGTGTTTTTCAAGGAAACTGCGGGACCAAAACCGACCATGCCGTCACCGTCGTCGGATTCGGAACGAGTGATGACGGTATCGATTATTGGTTGGTGAAGAATTCATGGGGTGTGGAGGATTGGGGTGAAGATGGGTACATAAGGATGCAAAGGAATGTGGCTGACCCCCAAGGTCTTTGTGGGCTAGCCACTAAACCTGCCTATCCAATTGCATGAATATTCCAAGGTCTTTGCAATTTGCCAATGCATTGATTTAGGAAACTCATTTTCCCTTCGTTGTATTAAGTCAAGGTCTTTGCAATTTACGCCCAAAAATGTATCCGTTGGCTTATTTATCGATTAAATAAAAGGGTTAACTACATGATTAGTCACTTATATTTGTGTTTTGTCTATTTTTTCTCACTGATTTCAGAAAACATAATATATGATCAATTTCGTTTTTATTTAATTAAGATGTGGTCCCCATGAGTTAAATGCAGTTAAATATTTTGATATAATCACATATTTGGTCCATATTATTTACATAATCTCTCAATTTAATCCTACTTTTAATAAATTAAAATAAATTTAGATGACATGTAACAATTTTTAACAGTTTATCAACATATATCGGATTACATATATCGAAATTTAACAGGTTATAGTTTGGAGATTAAATTGAAATATTTAATGAGAATCATATTTTTAAAATGAAATAAAAAGATCAAAAATTTAGAAACTAAATATAGTCCTCCAACCGAATGATCACACATGACATCATTCAATTGGAGAATTAAATTTATTTAGTTTATTAAATTTAAGACTAAATTGAGAAAATATGTAAATAACAGGTCCCGAATATGTGATTATACCCACATCACCTAATCTGTTAACTGTTAACAACAATTAACCTGTGATGATCACATCTTAATTAATAAAAAAGAAAGTGACCATATCTTAATTAAATTAAAATTAAAATAATAGTATACAATATTTTTTGAAATCAATAAAGAAAAGCGGGCAAAAAAATATAAATAATCAATCGTTTAGTTAACCCTAAATAAAACGTCCACGTCAGTATTTTGGAGTATTCAGGAAATATCTATTTTCTTATCAAATTTAAAATTTTATTATTGAATTTTAATTTTAATTATTATTATTATTAATGTTAAATTTCATTTATAATTGTCCATTGAATATAATTCAGTAAGGTTTGATTGCCTAAGCTCAGCTCCAATGAATTTCGAGGAAATTAGGGAACCTTCAAGACAAAGACTTGACTTGTAAGACTTTTACAACAGAGTTGACTGAAAGGACATGCATAAAAGAGTAATTTTATTGAGTTAATTCCTTTATTTGTCCTCAGACTACGATACTCTTTCTAAATTAGTCCATAAATTTGTAAACATTTCAATTTCATCACTAAATTATGGTTATATTCTAAATTAGTACCAAATTTTTGAAAATTTTAGTTTAATCCCCAAACTATATCCTTTATTCTAAATTGACTCCTATGTTTTTCAACATTTCAATTTAATCCCCAATTGCATGAATATTCCAAAGTTTTTGCAATTTGCCAATGCACTGATTAAGGAATCTCAAGCCCTCTCTATTTTCCCTTTGTTGTATTAAATAAGGTCTTTGCAATTTATGTCTAAAAATGTATCCATACGTCGCTCTTTAATATTTTGTTTGCTTATATATCGATTAAATAAAGGATAAATTAAGCGTTTAGTACATAAACTATTATTTTGGTCCATTTTAGTACCTAACTTTTAATTTTTTTTAAAACCATATCTAAAGTTTAGTTTTTGTTTCATTCTATTGTCCCCGTGCAAAATTAACATTAAGTTTTGATTTTTTTTGAAAGTGTAGGTACTAAAACAGTTAAATGTTCACGTAAGTATTTTGGAGTATTCAAGAAATATCTATTTTCTTATCAAAATTTAACATTTTTATTAAATTTTAATTATTATTATCAATGTTAAATTTCATTTATAATTGTCCATTGAATTTAATTCGATAAGGCTTGATTGGCTCAGCTCCAATGAATTTCGAGGAAATTAGGGAACTTTCTTGACAAAGACTTGACTTGTAAGACTTTCACAACAGAGTTGACTGAAAGGAACATTCATAAAAGAGTAATTTTATCGAATTAATTTTATTATACGTCCTCAAACTACGATTTTCTTTTTTCAATTAGTCCTTAAAGTTTTAAATATTCTAATTTCTTCCTTATGTTATAGCTATCATTCTAAATTAGTCCTCAAACTTTTAAAATTTTTAGTTTCATCCCCAAACTATATCCTTTATTCTAAATTGATCCCCAATCTTTTTCGACATTTCAATTTAATCCCAAATTATATGAATATACTAATCACGTTTCATGTTAATAAAATCGTTAGGCCAAACTATATTATTATATGTTTGAAAAAAATAGGTTAAACTATATTATTATATATTTGGATGAATTTGGGGATGACATTGGAAGATTTAAAAGTTTGGGGTCCAATTTAGAATGAGGGTCATAGTTTTAGGATGAAATTATAATATTCAAAAGTTTAAGGGCTAATTTAGAATGAGTATCATTTTTTGAGGATTAATTAGAATGTTTAAAAGTTTATAGATTAATTTAAAAAAAGAATCACAGTTTAGGGACATATGATACAAGTAATTTTTTTTAAGAAAAAAGAAGAAAAATTTTAGAACTCAACATGCAAGAATTTGTTAAACCTATCTTATTAATAATGAATTTTATAAATGGTTCAAAATTCAAAATAAAAGTTTGCATTTTTAGGTTGAGAAAGCAAGCAAAAATTTCAAGCAATTCTCTTTTAGGTTAATGGTATAAGAAGTAGTCAAATAATTTTTAGGGATATATCACATGTTTAGTGGA